CGTACATTAGAAGCCAGGTGGCGTCACTTCTATTCCATTCTACTGATTGCAAGCAAGTCATGGGTCCACCCAGACTCAAGGGAGGGCCAACACCCCCACATCTCCATGACAGGGGTGCCAGGATCACGTCGTAGAGACGCATGTCAGATGGGAGATACTGTTGTGGTCATTTTTGGAAAATAAATCTGCCCCAACGTGTGTAAAGAGCCACTCCCTGCTCTGCGTTGTTGCTCCGTTGTCTTTGAAATGCCAGGTTAGAAAAGGTGAGATGCAGGGAAACAAATTCAGCCAGAATGTTTTAACCTGCCTTTTCTGGGAAAAAAGTGAAACCCTCAAGGCCTCCTGAGACCAGGCTAGCTCACCTGCACTAGGAGTTCCGCATGGAACCTTGTGAACAAACCCCTTCGTATTAGATGCGCTGCACATTTTCCATCACGTTGTCTCTTCAGACTGTCTTCTTCTTGACCTCAGAAAGGTAGTAATTGACTGAAGAATAGGAAAATCAGAACCCTGGCTGTTTCTTAATATATTACAGACATAATTAACAAAAAGAAGGCTCCCGGGCTTCCCTGGCGGCGCAGTGGTTGGGAGTCCGCCCGCCAATGCAGGAGACGCGGGTTCGTGTCCCGGTCCGGGAAGATCCCACATGCCGTGGAGCGGCTGGGCCCGTGAGCCGTGGCCGCTGAGCCTGCACAACTGGAGCCTACGCTCCGCAACGGGAGAGGCCACAGCAGTGAGAGGCCCGCGTACCACAAAAAAAAAGAAAAAAAAAATCCTTCATTGTTTGGGACTGTCCCGCGCATGGGACATCCAGCTCAGCCCTTCCCATTAAGTGGCCTCAGTGGCCATGAGCTGTCCAACACCCCACCAGGACCAGCAGCCCCAGGAGGAGAAGCCGCAGTCAGAGGTGAAGGCTACAACGGACGCAGTGCTCGTGAAACTGTCAGCCTTGAAGGCAGTTATGAGCGCACACCGTCTGGCTGTGGAAGCCATTCCCAGCAGCCCACCTTCAAGGCTGACCTGCTGATGAATCCCTGGGTCGTCCGTGAGCCAGATCCAAAAAGCAGCTCTTTTTTATTCCAGCTGAGCGGCAGCTTTCTGGCCTAGACCACTTACAGCTGTGGGTTTGAGGAGTTTTCTTCACTCTCTTTTTCCTCTGAGTCATTCCCTTTGCTTTTCTGGTCAAGCTGCTATAGATGGAATGACTGTCCCACGGTCCATTGTCACATTCTTCCTTCTGGAAAAGACAAAACAGAAAATGGCCTTACTTGAAACTTTGTCCTCAAGCATCTGGTGAGCCTCAGCCTTCCTCACTTCTCCGGGAACAGTTACCTCAGTGGAGGTCAGTAGCCGGGCGAGCAGGGCCCTGGGCTGTGCTACTGTTTCCTCTGGACACAGTCACATGCACACATGCACTACCATGTCCATATCTGCATTCTTCCAGCCTCCAGAAGACTCCATCATCTGGAGAAGTGATGAGGGGTAGCAAGGGCGTTCCTGTGGGATGGAGCAAAAAGGAGGAAAGAAGGAACAGAGTGTCCAGGCAGAGAAAGAGAAGGAGGGAGAGAGCAAGGGCAACGGTCACTGAGAGCCAGAGAGGGAGAGAGGCTGACATCTCGCGTCTATGGGGGGCCCATGCAGTCCCACTCCCCGTTCTTTTCTGCCACCCGCTTTCTCCATAGGCTCTTCCTAAAAGCTCCCAATGTTGGCTGCAAGATTCAGAATATGCAGAGGCTCAGATCTGCCAACAGCACTTCAAGACGGATAATGACATACAGATTGTTTTTTTCCATCTTTGGGATTTGGAGCAGCCCGGGGAGTTGCAAAAGCCTGCCTTGTTGTAAGACTCTTTCTGAAGGCTCGCACTGTCTGATCACTGGCTCCGTGCTGCTGGGAACACTGGCGCAGCTGTCCAGGGTGGCAGGGACCACCTGGGATATGGAAATTACCGGGAACCCTGTTTGGCTTTTGCCAGAGCACCTGAAGCATTCTGGGAATTCGGATTTCTGTTGTTTCTCTCCACCGGCCCCTTAGGGGCAAAAGGCAGCAAACACAGACCACGTGTTTTGCCAGAAAAGCCCCAAAGGAAGATGGCTGCAGTTGTCAATTATTGGCATTTCAACAGGACTGTGTATTTATTTCAAAGTATATTTGCACGGCTAGGAAGCATCTCGCAAGGATGAGATGATAAGCTGTGTTGGTGCCAAAACAGGACTAGAAAAACAGGCTTGTTCTGAGAATGGCTTGCATCCCGAGAGACAGTGTGAAGACAATCCTTCCTCCACAGGCAATAGCTGCTCTTAAGACATTAATGCTTAAAAGAAAATAAGGCTTGGAATCCCTATCTCATGACACACTGTCCGCACACAGTAGGTTCTCAATGTGAGCATGCGGGAGGGGGGAGCCCATGGGAGGATGGGGAACCAGTGGCACAAGGGAAACCCACAGTCCCCAGAGCCTGAGTGCCAAGGCTCTTACCTCCACAGGAGAGGGCAGAGTGCAACGCGGGCCCTCAGGACGCCCGTGATTCTGCACAGGGTGCCCTCACCCTGTGCACACAAGTAGATGCCGCCGAGTGTCACCTTCCCACACGGGGACATGGAAGCTCCTTGGTTCTGTGGTTTCCATGAACAAGAATGGGATTATTGATGAACGAGGCCAGCATCCTGGGTGGTAACAAAAAAGGAATTTGGTAGAAAACACATCATCCAAGTTGGATTAACTCAGCTCTGTGGCCTGGGCAGGTTCCCAGGACATCCAGCCAGACGCAGGGCCTCTGAGTGACGCGAGGCTAGAATGTGTGTGATGACCTGAGGGCAGGGAGAGGCATGGCCGTGGGGCTCTGGAGAGGCTGCCCCTGACCCCCGCCCCCCCCAACCCACTGGCACACACCTCCCTTGCCATCCGTTACCTCCTGGCCAACACCAAGGCCACTAGACATTTGCCCATTTTTCTAGTGGACACAGTCTTTATCAGAAGCCCACACGGAACATAAGTAATCCAGCAATTTCTTTCTTATCCCACTGCCTGTCCGCTGCTCACTCATTCTGTGCTCAGTTTCCTCTGGATCAGGGTGCCTCCGGGCATCAAAACTATATCCTTCTATTCTGCCTGTGAGCCAAGAGCCTGACCGTTCTGGTTTTGCTATTGTTGTATTTGTTTTAAATATTAGCCCTTTTCCATTCCAGGCAATTGCAACTGTATTTACTGGAAGTTCCTCTGTGTGAGTGTTTTCCCCATTCCCGACCTACAGGCTGCTGTGTGAGCAGTAACTCGTCACTGCGTCACAAGTACGAAGTCGGGGACTGATAAACTTGGGGGCCTTTAACTTGAAAATACCAGTGAGGATGGGGGGAGGGGAGGAGAAGAAATACACTTATGGGTGGGCCAGTGGGCTCGTACGACCAAAAAAAATGTTGCTAAGTAGACATATATCTTGAGAAAAATAGCGCGTCATCTGCGCCCTGCGAGATGATGCGTTCGGGTAGGATGAGCTGATTTCTGCAGTGTTTGCTTGATAGAACAGCCATCGTTGTGGTCCCAAGACAAGAATACTCCATCCTGCCCTCCTTTTGCTTTCAGTACTTCTCACCTCCTAATCACTCACCTTCCTCTGCTCCTTGGGCTGAGCTCACAACTTAAGTCAAAGAGTCAGGATTCTTTCAGTTGCAAGTGACAGAAACCCAACTAACACTATCTTAAGCAAACAGGGGACTTATGGATTCATGTGTTAGAAAGGACATTATGGAAGCTCTAAGGTCAAATGAAAAAAGTAAGAACCAGGACCTTATGACAGGAACCAGGATTTCTCCCTTCCCTCCCCTCCCCCCTCCTGCCTCCCCCGCGTAACTATCACCTCTGCTGGTTGTTGCTGGGCTCCGTTCTGCAGGGGGAGCTCCACGTACCTGGAAGATGGCGCTTACAAGTCCCACATTCTCATACTCCCAGGGCCTCCACCCTAGAGGAAGGAACTTCCGCCCACAACTTCCATATACAAGCTCAGAAAAAGCTCTGATTGTCTGTCTCGGGGCTAATACTATCCAAAAGGATAGAGTGACCTGATTGTCTAATTTCAGCCTTGAGTCTACCTGTGGCCCCGAGAGCAGGATTTATTACCAGAAGACAGGCAAGAGGGGGGAAAAAAAAAACAGTGAAATACAGCACTTCCCGGGGTCCACTCTACCCTCCCATCATAAACCTTTCAGCTGAGGATGAAAAGTACGAAGGCCCCAAAGCTGACCTGAACTGTAACAGCAAATTAAAAATTGCCTGTCAGTCACTTAGCAAATCACTTTTGCTCTCTCTGTGCACCTCACCGAGAGGTCACGTGTCTCTAACTTAGCGTCTCCCTTATAAAACCGGATGTACAGTCAGCACACTGGCTCATTGTCAGCTCTGCTCCATCCTGTCGAGTTTGCTCAGCAGGTTAATGCAGCTCTCTGCCCTTCGGTTTCTTCATGTGAAAAGGAACAATAATGCCTCCTGTCATCAGCGTTTACAGGATAGTTAGCGTTGGTGACAGGAGTGTCAGAGGAGAGGTGGCTGGTGTTAACCACCATGGCCCCAAGGCGAACAGTGCCTTTCCAGGGAATCTTGATGACAAATCCTGGAAACTGGCTCCCACACAGGGGGCCACATGAGTTTCCTAAACGTGTGCTCTCACACACGTATATTCCTAAGGAATTTTGCATGGTTGCCTGGACCGAATAGATCCCGAACTTCCCTTGCCGGGCGCTTGATGACAAATCCTGGAAACTGGCTCCCACACAGGGGGCCACATGAGTTTCCTAAACGTGTGCTCTCACACACGTATATTCCTAAGGAATTTTGCATGGTTGCCTGGACCGAATAGATCCCGAACTTCCCCGTTGCCGGGCGGGGGCGGGGGCGGGGTGGGGGGGAGGGCCACTGGCTCAGTCTTCCGTCCCACACACATGCCCAGCTTCCCGGACCTCACCCTCTTTGAGTTTCTCTCTCTCGCTCTCTCTCTGCACATTCAGGAGTGTACACATTTCTGTCCAGCACCCTGAAGTCTCTGGAAGAGAAAGACCATATCCACCGTGTCCTGGACAAGATCACAGACACCTTGATCCATCTGATGGCCAAAGCGGGCCTGACTCTGCAGCAGCAGCACCGGCGTCTGGCCCAGCTTCTCCTCATCCTCTCTCACATCAGGCACATGAGGTGAGGCGTCCTTGGGTTTCCCATGGGAGAGACGTAAAGCAATCAAGCCCCCAACAATATGCTACAGCTGGCCCAGGAAGGGCTGACGCCTGAGAACAGATAACACACTCGGGACGGTTCCCGGCACATAGCATAAAGGCTGTGGGAGGATAGCAGAGGGAGGCAGTAACTCATTCTGGGGTGTGGGCGGGTGTCAGAGAAGCCTGCAGACAGGAGATGATACTTTCGCTCACTTTGGCGCATGCGCAAGATCCTAAGCCCGGGAAGAGTGTGCAGCATGCAGCTCAGTGGACGAGGGTCCCGTCTGGTTGTTCACTCGGCCCCAGCCAAGCAGGGGAAGTCCGCGAGCACACTCGTCCTCGGAAAGCACTGTGCACATCCATTACTGTGCTCCTGTGTTCCTGTGTCACACTCTCCTTACTTAACAAGTGGAAATTCTAAATGAGAGACTCTGGGTCCAAACGCCTCGTGGATGGTCAACGTTGACTCCTCCATCCCTCTCAATCCATTCTTGTCACCCCCGTTACCATTACCCTCGCCCGAGCCACCATCATCTCCTCCTGGATTTCTGCCCCAGCTGCCTAACCTGTCTCCCTGTCTTCAACTCAGAGCCTTTCTAATCCATTCTCCACAGTAGAGCCAGTGTGATCATTCTGATACCAAATCTTATCACATTGCTTTCCTACTTAAAGCCTTGAAATGGCTTCCCATTGCTTTTAGATGAAAGTATAAATCCATTTATTTTGCTTATATTCCTTCTTATGCTCTAGCCTTACTTAACTTTCAGGACTTCCTGGTAGTCTGGGCTGTAGCCCTAATCAGCTGTTCTCTGAGTCAAGGGGGACTTCCGCTGCAGGCTGCCAGTTGGGCCGTGCAGCTGTTTACCTCCTCTGGGCTCATGCACACATCTGCGGGTCAGCTGATGGAAGCATGGCACAGCTGGGAGACTCTGCATCTAGCTGCAGGCCTGAAGGCTGGCCAGGTGACTACCCCTTGTGCCTCTTGCCCTCCTTGTAGCCCCAGGAGAGCTGGGACATGTTCTCCTCATATTGATGGCAGAGGCACAAGAAAGTGAGTCTGTTTGGGGAAGTGCATTTTAATCTTTTAGTTAAGTCATGTCCACGAACATTCCATTGGCTAAGCAAGTCACATGATACAACCCAAAGTCAAGGATCATGGACACATGGCACGGAGAGTGAATCTTTCTGAACAGTAAGCTAATCTATCATAGCTTAGATATGACTCCTTGCAGGAAGCATCTCCTGACCCTTAACACCTAGGTGAGATTTATACCCTGTCCTTCCTGATTGTTACTGCTCATTTTTTATCTTTCAGCACCATTAGACTGTAAACTCTGTGAGGCAGTTATCACAACCCATTTTGCTTACTCTGTGTACCCAGCACCACCTAGCATAGGGCTTGGCACGTAGTAACTACTCAATAAATATTTTCTGTAGAAGGACGATAGCAGAGGAAATAGAGCCTTTCTGTGCCAGAAGGTAAAAGTGGCCTTGTTTCCATTCTAAATGGCTGTCCAGAGGCTTAGTGGGTACCATTCCCGTGAACAGAACCCAGCCTGCAGGGAAGAGATGGAGAAAGTATCGGATTCTTTACTCCAGAAAGGCCACAACAGTGAGGTGAAGTGATGACACTCCTGCACGATGAAGTCTCTATGACCTTGGGCTTACACCAGAACCCCAGGAATGATAAAGAGATTCTGTTTCTTAGTGGCTATGAGGGAAGGGCCAAGGTGTCTAGAAAGAGTTAGATTAATTTTTAAGGGGTCTTCAGACCTTGAGACTGAGTCAAATGGCAAGAAGTTCATCCCATCAAAGTCCCAGGTGCCTCCTTTTCTGGAGATAACTTTGCCAACTGTTAGCTTCTTGAGAAAATAAATGTATCTTTCTTTCTTTGTATGTCCCACAGTGCCGTATATGAAGTCTTACATGTCGTATATGCTCACAACATTATTACTGAGTGAATGAGTGAATAAATGAATGAATGAACAAATTACCTGAGGTTTTTCCTATGAATTTGAAATTCACAAATGATGGCTTTCACTTGCCAAAGTTGGGGAGAAAGTGACTGCAGTCTCTGTTCTTAGGGAGTCCCCAAGAATCCCTGTGTCACAGATGAAGGACTCACATTGGCCAAGTTGAGTAGGTGACTGCATTTGGAGTACACATTTTCAGTCCTTTCCCATCCATTTCTTTTGATGAATATTACACATAGGGAGGAGGGGGATAGATCAGAATAACATAATCCCCTACCAAATTTCCTGACCGAGAGAGTAACCTTCCCCTTGAAGAAAATATATTAGCTCTACTCCAAGCTAGGAATTTCACTGATGTAGAAACCATGTATCACAGATGAAGGTTTTTTTTTTTGTTGGTAGGAATTGCTGAATTTTCAAATCCATTAACTGCTTGTCAGCATTAGCCACAGCCTAATTAGTTAATACCAAGTATATCTGCACTGCATAGACAGGCCTTGCTAGTTTTAGTGGCAACACATGGCCAAGGGCCATGGCGGCGAGAGTTCCTGTTTGAGTTGTGTGACAAGCTGGAGAGAAGTTGCTATTCTATTGCAAGCTTTGAGGTTTCTCTCTCTCACTCTCTCTCTGTCTCTCTCTCTCTCTCTCTCTCTCTCACACACACACACACACACACACACACACACACACGAACAACAATATTATGGTGCCTCATTACAGCCAATCTGAATCACGGAACTCTGTTGTGTTAAGCTTGGCCCCAGCCATATGTTGTTATTCAGAGCATTTAACACCAGATTTCATCGGATGGTAAATGTGATTCATTAGGTTGCAAGAGGAAGACGGTGTCAGATCCAGGGGCATTTAACTTTAACAGCATTTTAAATTAAAACAAAACCAAGAAAACAAAATCCCACTGAAAAACGTAATTTAGGTGGTTGTGTTATATGGCCCGAATCACTTTGATGCTGTGTTTTCATGGCGCGTCTCCAGGTAGGGCTGACTTTTCCCCTACTGAAAATGCAAATATTTTTTAGGATGTTCTTGGTCTGTCTACTCATGATCCATGATTCGTTTTAAAGAAATGTCAAGCTAGGGAATAGTGGGGTTTTTTTTCCTGGTGGTAGTGTTGTGGGGACAGAGCAGAGATGTAGCTGGTGGAGGACGGGGCTGGGGGTCGGGGCAAGAGTGGTAAAAGGAGAAGCACCATTTACATGCATTTCCCTAGGTCCATCTATAGCCCATATTTTCTGAGCATTTACCAGTTCTTGCCACTGTTGGAGACCTACGGGATGGACAAACTGCAGCCCCTCACTGAACTTGCACAGTGTGTGTTGGGATGTGGGTTGTCTGTGTGTGTGTGTGTGTGTGTGTGTGTGTGTGTGTGTGTGTGGGTGTGTGTGTGTGTGTGGGTGTGTGTGTGTGTGTGGGTGTGTGTGTGTGTGTGGGTGTGTGTGTGTGTGTGGGTGTGTGTGTGTGTGTGGGTGTGTGTGTGTGTGTGGGTGTGTGTGTGTGTGTGGGTGTGTGTGTGTGTGTGGGTGTGTGTGTGTGTGTGGGTGTGTGTGTGTGTGTGGGTGTGTGTGTGTGTGTGTGTGTGTGTGTGTGTGTGTGTGTGCGCACATGCTTATGGAACAAGAATAAACATACATACAAGACATACATTCATAGGAGAATGTCAGGTTGTCATAGTGCTGGGAGAAAAACAGTAACATGAAAGCCAACGGCTAAACCTGCAGGGTCTTGAGCCGAATGCCACTGGGGTCATGGAAGGCCTTTCAGAGCAGGTGGCATTCGAAGATCTGGGGAGAAGTTCATCCAGGTGGGGGGACAGCAAGTGCAGATACCCTAAGTCTGGAAGTCTTGCTTTGTTTCTTTAGGGCCAGCATGAAAACTAGGGTGGTTAAAGGGAGTGGGTTAGGGAGAGAGGCAGGACAAGCCATGTCAGTTGGACCTTGCATAGCACGGACAGAAATTTAGATTTTATTCTGAGTTACATGGGAAGCAACCGAACAGTTTGAAGCAAGGGAACTTCTTGAACGGTTTATCGCACATTTAAAAAGCTCTTTCCTGGAAATCTAAAAAAGAGGGGATATGTGTATACGTAACTGATTCACTTTGCTGTACAGCAGAAACTAACACAGCATTGTAAAGCAGCTATATTCCAAGAAAAATTAATAAAAAATAAAGTAAAATGACAATTTAAAAATAAATTTTAATTAATTAAATTAAAAAGTAAAAACTCTTTCCTACATGGTAGCCTATCTCATCTGTTCTCTTTTTAGATGTAATTGTGATAGAGGGAAAGAAATTCACCTGCACAGTAAATCCTAAACTGGCTTTTTAAATAGGAAGAAAGGTTGGCGTATCAGTTGTCGCTGGGGTTTTTCTTACTTCCCCTTCCTCGGCATTTCAGCAGTCCTGGATCTGGGGATGGTCTAAAGTGGTCCTGTCTGTGTCTTCCCACCCACAGTAACAAAGGCATGGAGCATCTGTATAGCATGAAGTGCAAGAATGTGGTGCCTCTCTATGACCTGCTGCTGGAGATGCTGGATGCCCACCGCCTGCACGCCCCAGCCAATTTCGGGAGTGCACCCACGGAGGACGTGAACCAGAGCCAGCTGGCCACCGCTGGCTCAACTTCATCACATTCCTTGCAAACGTATTACATCACCGGGGAGGCAGAGAATTTCCCCACCACAGTCTGAGAGCTCCGCGGCTCCCCCAGGGTTCTGAGAATCCCTGTCGCACTTTATCGACATCATGCATCACTCTAGCCGACTTCTGACCCTGCACACACTCTGGCATGCACCCAGCGCTGGCTTTCTAATATGGGTGGCCATTCATTTGCTTGCTCAGTTCTAAGTGGCACACCTTCTTTTGGGAACAGCCAAAGGGATTATTCCAGGGCTACTTTCTTTGTTAACAGCTCTCTCTCTCTCCCTTTGCTACCTTACTCAGCATGAGGATTCCCTTAGTGGTTCATGACTGAGCTCCGTCTACGAGCTGGGCTCAGATGACTGTGCACTTTAGCTACTTGTGACCCAAGGCCTGGAGAGTGGACATTTCACCTCCGTGAATGTGAAGCACTTTTTAATGGATCTTATTTAAGCATAAGCCACAGGAAAGAATTGGAAGTGGCTCCTTTAATTGCTGACTTGGAGAAAGCTAGGTCCAGGGTTCATTATAACATCCTCTTGTATTCCTATAGTAACATACCATTTTAGTAAAGTCAGACCTTAAAGCTTCTGCTCTGTTGCATGGCTGTAGCAGAATATCTGGTGATTGTGCACCCACTTCCCCTATAGGAATACAAGATGCACACAGGGAAAGAAGAGCCCCTAATTGTCAAGACTTTGTCAACTAAATACACTGCACCTTCAGATTTGCTGAATGCTTTACCATTAGCTTTTGAGAGCACTAGGTATAGGTCATGGGTTCCAGTTAATTCTTGCTTCCCATGGACCCGTGGAAAACAGCAAGTTGATCCCAGTTAAGTCACCTCCACATACACCAGTTCCTTTGTGAGAGATAAATTCTTGTTTTTTTTTTTTTTTTTTTCATTTTATAAAAGAAAGCCCTCTCCCCCCAGGACTTGCAGTAAATGGGCTTCAGGACCTGTTCTGGTGTGATCTCACTCTTATCAGCAGAGGGCGCTCTGCTTGGCTCTTCCTGGTGTGTAACTTACAAGGTGAATTAGGTGTAGTGCCCAGGCTATGACCAAGGGCAGTTTAAATGAGCAGGCACCCTGGTGACACTTTTAGCCCTGGAGCAGTGGGGTTAATAGTAAATGTGCATGATTCTTGTAGGTACTAGAGACCAAAGAGGAAAGCAGGGCAGAAACTGGATAAAACTGTGAGGCTCAGGGTGGCCCTGCCACAGGCTGCAGCCACTTAGGAGTACTACTGGCAGACCCCATACTGCACTGCGGGGCTGCCCTGGGGTCCGTGGGGCAGTCCTTCTCTTCCTCATTTCCCCGCATGGCCCAGGTTGGAGGCACACTCTGGGCGGGGGAACAGGGCCAGGACTGGAGCGCTCCGTACTCAGGCTGCCTGGGGCCTGGTCAGACCACACCTGCCCTTGGTTGTTTAGAGCTCATCCAAAAATCAGGGCTTGGCCTTGAGGGAAAAACAAACAAACAAACAAACAAACTTCCCTAGAGTCTATTTCATTAACCTTCATAAGCCAAGAGGGCAAGACCAGAATTGGGCCATAGGAATCCTTAAACCTATAGGCTAAACAAGAGAGGCCTACTCCAGCCACAGGGCAGATTTCCCTGGGTCTTTGCTTCTCTAAAGCAATTATGGATTATTTCCCCTTTTCAGCTAAAAAGAAAGTTTGGTTTCCTCTGGTGACCGCATTGTCTGTTAACTCAAACCCCAGTGATAGGCAATGCATTAGCCAACAACCCAGCCAAACTTCTAGGGCTTCTCTTGGGATGCCTGTTTCAAAAGTGGACTTCATCCATTTCCAATGACCCAATCAGTGATCACCAAAGGACTGGGAACCTGGGAGGGCCAAGAAAAAAAAAAAAGTTGTTTTCACAAGTGCATCTAAATTTGGGGGCAATTTTATGTATCAATATCTGCAGTAAGAATGTTTAGAACATAATTCTTTTGTTGTTTTTGTTTAAGAAGCACCTTATATAGTATATATTTTTTTGAAATTGCAATGCTTGTTTGTCAGACAATTGAATGTAGTGATTCTGTTCTGGATTTAATTTGACTGGGTTAACATTCAAAACCAAGGAAAAATGTTTACTTGTTTTGTATTTACTACCTTGTGATGTAGTCATTGATGCCTAAGGCCTGGTGATTATTCATTTAAATGAAGATCACATTTCATATCAACTTTTATATCCACAGTAGACAAAATAGCACTAATCCAGATGCCTATTGTTGGATACTGAATGATAGACAATCATATGTAGCAGAGATTATGCCTGAAAAGGAAAATTATTCAGGGCAGCTAATTTTGCTTTACCAAAATATAAGTAGTAATATTTTTGGACAGTAGTGAATGGGTCAGTGGGTTCTTTTTAATGTTTATACTTAGATTTTCTTTTAAAAAAAATAAAAACAACAAAAAAAATTCTAGGACTATAGGTGATGTAATACCAGCTAAATCCAAACAATAATCCAGTGGAGGGTTTTACATTATTCATCTGAGATGTTTGTATTCATGTTAAGATACTACTATGTTTGAAATGGGGCCGAGAACACCAGATGGTTGGTATGTTAGCCCGGGAGTTTCAAGTAATTTTTAAAATCTCTTCTTATTTGAAGTGCCACTAATGGACAGCTGATACTTTGCCGCTGACATTACTCTGGGTGTAGGACTAATGGACAGCTGATACTTTGCCGCTGACATTACTCTTGGGTGTAGGGAACATGCTGTATTTTTTTCCCCCCACTCTGAGACAATTTAAAGTTTGAAAGCCATGGTGGATCGGGGTGGGGTGGGTGGGTGAGGGTAGGGTGGGGAAGTGGGTTTAGGAATTTGAAGAATGGGAAATATCGTAATAAGAGTCTTGAAAGTATTTTGAAGCAGATCAATACTGGCGCCTGGGGTATGCACCAGGGTTCGGTATTTCACTTGTGCCCTGTTAACCACAAATAAGTAGCTGTATCTGACAGCCATTCAGATATAATGGCAGCTTGAGTTCTAGGGAAAAACTAGTGGCATCTGCAGTACAGTCCAAGGAATAGCTAGTGGTCTGTGTTTCTTTTAGCCATTGCCTAGCTCCAGGCTTGCGGTAATGATTCTGCAATGCTGTCATGCAACAATCAGAGAGGCTAGTTCATCCAAAGAGAAGACCCTACGTAGGTTGCAAACTCCAGCCCCTAAGGAAGTGTAGTCGTTGATTAGATTTCCCTATTAACCTTACAACTATGTTTAACCATGCCATATCCTATGCCTTTTGGGGGCTGAACAAATAAGGGACTTACTGATAATTTACTTCTGATCCCATTAAGATGTTCTTGCGTTAAAATCTTATACACTGAAATGGCCGTTGATTTAGGCCACTGGTTCATGAAACCAATTCTAAACCCCTTCCTATTCATAGTTCCCAACTCTGAGATGGACTGTGGATACTGGGAGTGATCACTAGGACCACAGTAATGTCTGGTATTCACAGGCAAATTTGCTTCAGGAAGCTGGTTATTGGAAAGACAAAGAGTCATACATAGCTTCTGAGACAACCGTGATTCTCTTTGGTGCAAGTCTTGGAAGGATGATTCAGATGACACTGCACACCTCCGGGATGAGCTCCCTGAACACTTACTCTCAACTGGAGCAAATGACTTTAACTGTGGTCCCAAATATCCACCTTTTCAGTAGTGTTATCTCTGTTTCTAACTGCAGTTCCTTTCCATTTGGATTAAAGTGAGTGTGGCCTCTTTCTAAGTCACTTAAAATTGTTTTCTAAGTACCTGCTGCCTCTATTATGGCACTTCAATTTGCACTGTCTTTCAGAGATTCAAGAAAAATTTCTATTCTTTTTCTTTTTCTTTTTTTTGCATCCAAATGTGCCTGAACTTTTTAAATATGTAAATGCTGCCATGTTTCAAACCCATCTTCAGTGTGTTTTTACAGAGCTGTGTACCCTGGAAACCACATACAGCCCCACGAGCAGGTGCCTGAGGCACGGACCCCTTTGCATTCACAGAGAGGTCACTGGTCATAGAGACTTGAATTAATAAGTGACATTATGCCAGTTTATGTTCTCTCACAGCTTATAAACAATGCTTTTTGTGCACTGCAAATTCTTCAGTGTAGAGCTCTTGTTTTATGGGGAAAAGCTCAAATGCCAAATTGTGTTTGATGGATTAATATGCCCTTTTGCCGATGCATACTATTATTGATGTGATTCTGTTTTGTTGCAGCTTTGCTTTGTTTAATGAAACACACTTGTAAACCTCTTTTGCACCTTAAAGAAAGTAAAGAATCCAGTGGGATGCTCAAGCACCTTAAACAATTTTCTCTACCTATTTGGTGTTCAAATAAAGAAATAAATGAAAGATGTCTGGTTTTTTTGTCAGCTCCCTTCTCGCTAGTGGTTCAGCACTGGCTGCCCAAGGTCAAGGATCAAGGTGGTGACATGCATGTGTAGAGCACAGTGAATTCAGATGATCAGTCTGATGCCAGGCTCCCCTCCAACCCCACCTACCCGCCCCCCCC